AAAAAAAAATATATTACTTTTTAAGGCTTTATTATTTGATAAAGTCAGGTTCAACTGTGTTTATTTTACTAGAACTATGATTTTCATGTAAAGTGAGATTTTCACGTAATACAAAATATGAATACAGCGGTTTGTCTAGAATGGAAAAAAAAAATAAATGTTGAGAGTGTTGGCTGACATTTGACTGTGAGCCAAAAACCCTTTGCTCATTTGCAGTTAGCTCATCTTATTTTGTCATGGTTAATGAAAACCTAATTTTGTTGAGGTTTTAAAATTATTTTCTCTTTCTCTCTGTGTCCTCCTCCCCCTCACCACCCCAGTACACTTTGAAACAGTCATTCTTTGGAAAGTAAGAGTCAGATTCCAAGACACTGACTATCGTAGAAGCTCATTCTGCCATACTTGGCTGTGTACCCTTCCAAAGGCAAAGAGAGTCATGTCAGAAACCTTTAGAAAGAGTCCAGATAGATGTGACATGCAAAAGAAGCAATACTGAAGAAATAAAGGAATAAAGAGTAGGAGACACATGCCTTGAGGACCGTTCCGTAGAAGATTGAAGGGAGAAAGTGTTGTTTTACAGAGGCATTTGCTTAGCAGTCAGTTAAAATTTGACTCAAGGAAATTCCTCCTGACTGTTGAAAACTATACTGACTTCTTTTTCCCTGTGTTTGAATTACAGGTGACATGTCATCTATAAACACTGCTTTGAATAACCATCAGCTGAGTCATCTCCAGTCACTATTAAACAACAATCAGATGTTTCCTTCAAATCAGCAGCAGCAGCACCTTCTCCAGGGGTATCAGAACATGCAGGGCTTTCAAGGCCAGCCCCCAATTCCTGGCCCAGCTAACAACCCAAACCCCATGGCATGTCTGTTCCAAAATTTCCAGGTAGAAAGCAAAATTAACTCAATATTCAAACAAATGTGCAACTCTCCATAGGTAAAATTATATCCTCTGTAGTTTGAGGGGTTTTGTTTGCTGAGTGATTAAGACAATACAATGTATACAGTTTTCAGTAGCGTTTGGATTTTGCAAATCAGTAACATTTGTTAGTGACATTTTATACCTTTTTCCATAGAAATTGGGTATCATTTCTTTGCAGAGAGTTGTGCTGCATGTATTGGGGAAAAAAGAAAAAAAATGCTATATGCGTTCTGACAATTTTTTAGCAAAACCATTTTCCATGCTGCAGAAATGATCATAAATTCCATTTTAGACAGCTCTAACAACTCAGTGGTGAGAAATAAGTATTGATACCACTTCACGGTAATTAGAAACTTAATAAATGGTTATACGTGACTGTGCGTACCAGTCCTCTTGTAATTCCACTGCAGCTGAGTGGAAGAGCTAGTAGCTGTGACGTGGATTGTACATACAGAAGAAAACAGGCATTAGAATGAATATACAATGACAAACTGTGCAAAAATGATCCCTTCCTGCTATCCACTTAAATAGACAATTCTTCATAATGCAAGTTGAACTGTCAAAGTAACAACACTGACAGGAAGCATAGCAACCAAAACAGGTAATAAACCCAGAGCTAAAAGACGTATTTATTATTATTCAGTATTACCCTGCTTGCTGCAGAACTCAGGACGTGAAGACAGAAGCATGCAGATAGCACCAGAAAGTGCTTTTACCCTTTACGAAGGAAAAAGAAGACGTGTCATTTTCTCAGTGTAAATGTTTCGCTGCTATTGCAAAATCACAGTCCTCTAACTGCCTATTACCTCTTTTTGGTTTTGTATGAATTTTGCTGGCTTTATCTCAGTATTTTTTGCTTCAAATTCTCAGCTATATAAATAGTAAGTATTTAAAGGAGCTTTTGGAAATATTTTACCCTTGGTTTTTTTACAGTTTTTTTGTTATAGCATTATTCTTCACATCGTCTTCACTGCCTACATATGTGACAAGAAATACAAAAAGCACAGTTAATCTGAAGGTTACAGTTTACTGTGGCAGTGCCTGGCATTACAGCTGCAATGCAAAGGGATGCAGGCAGGGTTTACAAGGGACTGAAGTAAAAAGAGATCTCACGAGAGAAGCACATAACCAAAAGGGGAAAACTGGAAATGTTAGCCAATTCCAAAAGGAGAGTGATCGCCTACGTTCCAGAAATTGAGTGAGGAGTGTACAAGGAGCCCAGAACAGTCGGTAGGGAAGGAAGAAGCAAAATTAGGGTCTGGGAAGGAACAAAAGAGAGTAGTTGAGAACAGATACGTTGACCTTGGTGGAGTTGTTTAGGGCTTGAGAGAAAAAAGGAGAGTGCTGTACTTCAATCAGAAGAGGAAATCCCTGAAAAGACTCTTTCAGAGATGGTAATGTAGTCTCAGCAGTCCATGGTACGTTGTATCGTTTTATGCAAGGCATCTATTTTGATCCATGAGGCAAAGTGTAAGAGCCAGTGTTTTTGTTTTCCTCTAAATTATGGGGTTTTTTGTTTTCTATCTAGCTTGTTCAGCATTAAACTGATGTATAACCAAAATAAAAAGATGTACTGCAACAGATACTCACCCTGGCCACCATTTTATGAAAACAAAGTTTGTCTGTTGAAATAGAACTTCAGGCAGAATAGCAATTTCCATCTTTTTCTCTTACTTTTTCCAGGTGAGAATGCAGGAAGATGCTGCTGTCCTAAACAAAAGAATGATCACTCAAATGGGAATGGCACCAGTTCCTGAGAGCTCCAACACAATGCTTCCTCCTTTCCAAGAACCATCTTGTGATTTGCAGCAAAGAACTGAACCATCTCTCGGACAACAGGCAAAGGATAACCTCAACGTCGCTGCTCAGGGTGATACGTCGGTGGACGCGATCTACAAAGCAGTTGTAGATGCTGCAAGCAAAGGAATGCAAGTAGTAATCACCACTGCCGTTAGCAGTACAACACAAATGAGTCCCATTCCAGCTTTGAGTGCCATGAGTGCCTTC